GCAAGGCTCTTCTCAACTTCTCATTGCCTCTGGATGACACCCAAGTGTAAGTTTTGTTCTACTTAAAATGGATTTTTTTTTACTGAAAATTGACCAATTAATAATTTATGTAAAATAATTATGAATTTTCATGCAAAGTTGCCTCATCCTAAAATATCACAGTCTGTCATTATAGTACCCAGTATTTATCATGATCACTGGAAAAACTCATTAAAAAAATAAAAAGAAATTCTGGGACCAGCAGTTAGTGTAATGGCTATGTCACTGGACTCCCATGTAGCTGACGACGGCTTGAGTCCCGGACCTGGTGGCTTAAACTCATGCCGGGCACACATGCATTCGTGCCCAAGATCCCGAGAGGAGAAAGGAGGAGAAGGGATTGTGGCGTGGCCATTTCTCACTTTCTGTCTCTCTGTCTCTGTCTGTCTTTCTGGCGAGTGCACACGCTCCATAGCAAAAACCTTTCCAATAAATAAATAAAAATAAATTCTCAGGAAAAATCTTATATTGAACTGAGTACATATCTGTAACCCTAAGGTAATGCTGGTACTGCAGATTAGTTTACCAGAAAAGTCTTCCTAGGCTGCATTTCAGCATGAATCACAGACACATTAGAACCCTGGGCTGGGGCTGGCTTTCTGAAATGCATATTTTATTACTCATGTAAATCCTATTTGGACCCTCTGAAGCAGTGTGATCTCTAAAACATACTAGTCCTTAGCAATACTCACTTCTGAGTGGTAATGTGAAGGTTCTTATTAGTGAATGGATAACATTCCTAAAATAAGCTAACGTAGTTTTCACACTTGCCAATGCTATACCAAAATCATCTAGTGGAGTCAGAAACAGTCAAATCCCCTTGACTGTTCAACATTCAACGTACTCATCTGTACACAGACAAAAAATGCAAATAAATGTTATACTCTACATATGGTCTAATTAAAATAAACTTCAGATAAATTTGTGTCATCACATAGATTTTATCCTCACGTCAAATACCTTTCTTTTATTTTAAAAAGCAATATTCCCAGAAGACCCTTCATAACCCACCCTACATTCTGGCCATGAAAGCTTCCCCTGTACTCTGTTGCTATTGGTGAAGCACTTAAGGACGCGGCCCATAAGTGGAGTTCTTGAAGTCAGATCCAGAGGGTAGAACAAAGTGTGGCACGATACTGGGAAGAGCTGCAGCACTGCAAACTCCACAGGAAAAAACAAAAAAGACTTCCAACTTTTTTCCTTTAATCACATGTCCCAGTTAGAGCAATTAAAAAGGGGGGTGAGGGAGTATTAGATCTCCTAAAACGACATTCTGGTTTCATGACTTAAAGCAGAAAAAAAGGAAGATAGGAAACCCAGTGGGCCCTGTACTGTCTGAGTTTGAGGCACCGAAGCTCTGAACCATCCCAACAAGGCCCCAGATAAGCTTTGCTGCATGTATGGGAGACACTGGCCCTATCTTTACTTTTGGTGAGGACTCTGAAGTAACAAAATTTGAGTTTAATCTTGCTACTCTTTTTGCTTATAGCAAAATGGTTCCAGAGGATTTAGCTGGTAATATGTTACACACTGTGACTTTACACACCTATGCTGAATTTAAAGTTCAAAACAATCTCAATTACTCAATCATTTTGACAGTCAAAACAAACTACTCAATCCCAGTTTTCAGTACTTTCAAAGGCAAATATAAAATTGAAATTAAGACACCACAAAGCTTTCGCCATGGAAGAACGTTCTTTTCCTCCTCAGGAACATAGCATCCATCACCATACCACATCTGCAAACCACAGCATCTCAAGGGACCCTTCTCCAGGAGCCTAGTGTAAGCTATCAGCTAAGCTTATAGCTTAGCTGCATTTCAGCATGAATCACAGACACATTAGAATAGCACATCAGTCACTATTCGGAAGCAGTATGGATGCTTCTCCATTTCTCTGGTAGCTTGGGAACACCAACCTATGAAGTGGATTCCCTGCGAAAGGTGAAAGTCAATGTCTATCTGTGTATATTAGCATTGCATTGCTGCTCACTGCCTAGGAAATGTACTAAGATGTCTTCAGGGTGCCAGTGAGTGGCATGAAGATCAAGGTATTGGATCCCATATGGCCAGCTGTGCAGTTCTGAGTCCTGGACCTGACAGCTTGAAAAGCACGCCAGGCACGTGTGGGTGCATGCCCAGAATCCCAAGGGGAGACTAGAGAAGGGATAACAGCATGGCCATCCCCCCTGGGGGTTATTTCTCATTCTCTCTCTCTCTCTGTCTCTAGTGAGTACATGTACCCTATAGCAAAACTTTTTAAAAAAAGTCTTCATAGCTCTTGCCTTATATCAAATTATCATTTGATATACAATGGTCTTCAAATTTTCTCTGATAAAGAGTTTAAAGGTGAACTGATAAATGTGTCACACTGCTTTATTTTCATAATTTTGTCCAATATATATGCTTAACATTTTTAAAAAAACTGACAGAGGATGCATGCATTTACCAGACAGAAAGGCAGAGAAAAAGAGAAAGAAAGCATCCCTCAATGGGGTGTAGTCACACTGCAATCTCTTCTCCATTGCCATCCTATTGGGATTTAGGGTACACACACACATACACAGTGAATGCTTTTCAAGCCCCTGGAGCTAGGATTTGAACTGTGGTTGGCCACCACTGGAATCGGCATCACTTAACCTCTAGGTCACAGGGCCGACCACTTAAACTATTTTTTCACTTGATATTGTGAAATAATCATACAGTCATAGAAAGTTGCAAAAATACTGTATAGAGAGTCCCATGAACCCTTCATCCAGCTTCCCCAATGGCAACATTTTAAATAATTATAGGACAATATCGAAACCAAGAAATTGTTGCTAGTGTAATACTGTTAGTTGCAGACCTTATTCAGTTCTTGGCAGTTTTAACTGCATTCATTTGTGAGTATATGTATCATTTTAACCAATTCAATCCCATTTAATGACCTCATCACCACTAAGGGATCTCTACCACCCCCATTACTATTCCCTATCAATGATCAATCTATTCTTCCTCTACCTGGTTTTATTATTATGAGAATGTTAATAACATATAAATGCAAACATATGATATAGGTAATCTTTTTTTTTAAATTAAACAATACCCTTGAAATCCAAGTATCGATAATCCATTTCTTTTTATTGCTGAGTAGCATTTCACTGTATGGACTTACTAGATTTATTAAATCATTCACCCATTGAAGGACATGGGTTGTTTCCACTTTGGGACTACTAAGAATAAAATTACTATAAACACACATGTGTAGATTCTGGTGTGAATATAAGTTTTCATTTCTCTGGGATAAATGTCCAACAATACAATTACTAAGTCTTACGGTGATTACATGTTAGTTTATAAGAAACTGCCCAACTATTTTCTACAGGACTGTCCCGTTTTATACTTCCTACCAACAATGCATGCGTGACTCAGTTTCTATGCATCCTTAGCAGCGTGTGCTATTGTTATTTTTTTTATTTTAGACATTCTGATAAGGATAATCATTTTAGTTTTAATTTACATTTCCCTGGTAGCTAAGAAGTAGAAAATTTCCCATGCGTATATATGCCATCTTCTGTCCTCTTTAGTGAAATGTCTGTTTCTAGCCCATTTTTCTAATTGGACTTATATATTATTTCTACTTGAGTTTTCAAAGTTTACATGTTACAGATCTAAGTTCTCTGTTGGATTTGCAAATAGCTATGGTTTGTACATTTTCCCCCAGACTTTAGCTTGCTTTGTTTTTTTCTTAAGTTTTCTCTTAAGGAAAATTAGATTAAATTATTTTTATTTCCTCCGTGTGTGTGTTTTGTTTTGTTTTTGTTTTTGTTTTTGTTTTGTCATAGGACATATGAGCTTTATGGAGAGAGATAGAAAGAGAGAATGTGTGAGAAATCACCTCCCAAGGGGATGGCCATACCACAATCCCTTCCCCTCTCAAGATTTTGGGCACCCCCAACACATATGCCCAGGATGTTTTTCAAGCCACTTGGGTCTGGAACTCAACTGCAGAGTTGACCATCTGGGATCCAGGGTCTTAACTACCACATCACCTGCTGGTCCCCTCATGTGAAATTTTAAAAGGGTTTAAACTTCTTAAAAAGTTTAAATAAAAAAGTCCTAATAATAAAAATATATATATATATATGAAAAAGGCACTTGAGACAAAATGGATAAACTGAGAAGACATAATGGTAAGTGAAATAAATCAGGCTAGGAAAGAGAAATATCATACGTCTCTACTTAATAAATACAGTGTTCCCAGTACTTAATGAAGGCTAAAGGACTCAACAGCTTAGAAGTAGAAGGAGAAATGGTAGATACCAGACGCTAGATGGAGGGTGGCATTAGCAGAATAGTAAAAAATTGGTTAAAAGACACGAGTTCATGTAAGCAGGTAGAGTAAGTTTTGGTGGGACTGTGTACCACTGTAGAGTAATGAACGACAGTGCTGACATAATACATGCTTCTCAAAAGCCAGTGGAGCAGTTTTGGAGTGTGAATAAGATAATGCGGTATTGAGTGATAGAGACGGTAAATGTGCTTGTAGCCTTTAGTTATTATACCCTGTATAGATGCTTTAAAAAAACATACTCTACTGGGGCCAGCAGGTGGCATGGTGGTTGAGGCACTGGACTTCCACATGGCTGACCATGATTCGAGTCAGACCTGGTGGCTTGCTTTCTCACTTTCCCTCTCTCTTTCTCTCTCTGTCTCTCTCTGGTAAGTAAAAGTGCCCATAGCAAATTTTAAAAACAAAAACAACAAAAAAAACCATACTGTACAAAAACATAAAATGATTATAAGTAAATCAGAAATTATAATTAATAAGTAAATAAGCAAATAACTTAAAAATTCAATGGATAATGTGATCGGAATACTAGAGGTAGTCAAAGAGAGAATTAGAGAATTGGAGGATGGGTCTGAAGAGAGACTCTAGATTGTGAGTAAAGCTTAAAGGAAAAAACAAACAAACAAAACTCACCTTCCTTTGGGCTCACTGCCGCAGGAAGCTCATTCCAATCAAGTGTCCAAGCAGGGCAAGGGTGGGGAGAAAACACCACTTCAATGCCTTTTTCCTAGGAAAGGAAATAGGCTCTTTCCAAATTAATGAATTAATAAGATCTTGATATGTTCTTGAAAGCAAAATTTCTATTTTCTATAATGGCAAGGAGGAACATAAATTGTAATAACTATAAGATATTCCCCAAATACTTTGATAAAAAATATTATGTTCAGCTTTTTATACTTCCTCTCTTGTCATTACTATATTGATATAAATATACTTTTTAAATATACTGAGATATCATTTATACAACACAATTTTTAGCATTTCATAGAATAGAATTTAGTGGTTTTAAACATATTCACAGTTGCATCATCACTGTCTAATTTTAGAAAAATTTTTCATACTGAAAAGAGACCCCATATACTACTCAAGAGGTGAACGAGAAATTCCTCACCAGTACAACCATTTGATTAAGACACATCAAAATCTAGACACCCCTTGGTAACTTCTAAAATCAACTATATTATCTGTTTCATTGTTTTATCAATAGGAATGGGAATGATACTGTTACTAAAATCTTATACAATTTTTTACAGAATTAATTAATTTTAATTTGATCAGAGAAGGACAGAGGGAGAGAGAGAGAGCGAGAAGACAAGTCAGGAGGTCCAGGACTCAAACTGCAGTCAACCATGTGGGAGTCCAGTGCCCTTAACCACTATGCCAGTCCCAAGTCTTACAAATTTTTAAATCAGTACATTTCCTGTTTTTATAGAACTCAAATTACTTCATGAATTATTTTCTATTCAAATAAATCTACAAATAATCTATTGAAAGCAAAACATTTTTGCATATCATTTCAAATGGTAAGAAAAGAAGCCTATTACTTGATATCATTAGTTTATTAGTCTGTCTTAAATGCTAATGTCACGTGTCTCAAATGACAAAATAAAACACTAAAAAATAAAATAAATAAAAAGAAAGTCTTTTGATGAAAATTTTACAATAACTACTACTGCACTACCAGAAATAAATTATGCCCCAAAGAGAGAAAGATTAATTATATGCATTTTAATTATCCAAATGCATTAAAATTTAAAAATGCAAAGAATTCCAAAATTTTAAATTTAAACAAAACCTTAGAAAGTAAATTCAGATATTTATCTTTCTATTTCTTTAACTTCAGGTTGTTGTCTCAAAGGTGTAAAACACATCAGGTTAAAACAATACACCTGACCAGGTATGATACTACCTTTGTCACTGTCCTGAATTTATTGTAAAAATAGTTTGGAAATAAATATGTATTGTGACTTATTTGGCACCAAAGATATATAATATTAAAAATCTTCGGTTGACTAAATACTTTACGTAAATGCAAAAGGCTAACAGAAATATTAATTAGTAAGAATGGTGTAAGATAGATACAGATAAAACGTAGTAACAAAAATGTCAACAAAAGACTGAAAGTTGAGGCAAAAGTTAGCGACATTATCATGCAGAATTTTTCAAAGAAAATTTTAAAAGAAACTATTTAAGTACCATTAACTTGGTCAGAGTTGGTCTCGGCCCTCCTATAAATAAAGGATCACTTTGCTCCTCTACATTTGGGACCTCACTGAGGTTCGGATGCTGTTCATTTGAGGTGGTCAAAAACTCTGGTAAAAGCAGAAATTGAATCCCACACTTAGAAGCTGCTGTTTTCACTCTTGGTACTTCCTGAATTCTCTGGTACCAAGAGGCTAGCAGCGGAAATTCTATCAGCTTCTCAGAAAATTTCTTGCAGATAATTACCTAGGTAGGAAAAGGATAAAGCACATTATTACACAGATTTCTTGTTTAAAACAACTGTATTAGGTAACTTTCCATACCATAAAATTTATTCCCTTTTTAGTACACAGTACCATGAGTTGCAGTAAATTTATGCAGTTGTACAATTATCACCACAGTCCAGTTCCAGAATAAGTCACCCCAAAAGTTCCCTCATGACTATCTGCAGTCAGTTCCTGCTCCCCTAGGCAGTTGCAGATACTTTTTTTTTCTAATTTCATACAAATGAAATCATCAATTTGTGTTTTCCCACTTAGCATTGTATCTCTGGGTTTCATCCAGATGGCTACATTTCTCAGCAGTTTGTTTTTTTTCAGTATGAGTTCTAGTCATTGTGTGAATATACTGTATTTTGCTCACTCAGTCACCAGTTGATGTTTATATGCATGTCTCCAGTTTTAGGCTATTACCAATAATGCTACTAGATACATACAAGGACCAGTGCTTGCACGGAAGTGCTTTTCGTTCATTAGGAGGTAACTGGGAGTCAGGTGCTAGTTTGTATGCTAACAACATGTCGAACTTGTAAAGAAACTGTCAGTTGTGCTCCATGGTGGCCATACCATATTATATATACACTATGGAGATTCCAATTTCCACACATCTTGCTAACATTTGGTACTGTTAGTGTTTGGGTTTTGTTTTTTAATTTTAGCAATTGTGGTGTGTCATGGTATCTTACTGTGATTTTCATCTGCATTTCCCTCTGATGAATGATGTTGAGCATTTTTTCATGTACTCATCTGCCATTTGTGTATCTTCTTTGGTGACAAGTCTCATGTTTTTATCATTTCACAATATAAAAGTTGAAGAAAATCACAATAAAAAGGAACATAATTAAAAAATTGGCAAAAGATATGAACAGACACCTTACTAGGAAAGATCTACAGATGGCGCCTAAGCATATGAAAAAAATGGTCATCATATGTCATTAGAAAACCACAAATTGGATCAGCCCTGGCATAGTGGTTAAGGTGGCTGGACCCCACATGGCCCACTGGCCTTTCAGTCCTGGTCCTGGGCCAGGCAGCCCCCAAAACATGTGGAACCCATGTGCATGCATACCAGAAAGCCAAAAAAGGAAAAATGGAAGAGAAAGGATTGTGGCATGACCATCCCCCATGGTAGAGGGATGTGTTTTCTCACTTTCTCTCTCTCTGTCTTTTACTCTGTGAGCATATGTGCCATGCAGCAAATTGAGGGGGGAAATTCACAAATTAATACAAGCAGATACCACTACACACCCGTTAGAAATAGTAAAGAAATAAAAGATAAAATTATAAATATTTAGAACTGAAAAAGATAACTAGCACTTTTCAGAGAACATTTTTTATAAAAAAGTACTCAAAAATAAGGCTTTTATTTATTCAAATTAGAAAATTTAAAACCATTACTCCCTTGATACAAATTCCTATCTTTTTGTTTTCCCTTGGTCAGATGCTTTCTCCCTTTCATTACCACCAGACTTCAGGTTCTTTGATGAGTAGAGTATTATGGCTTCCTTGAGAGGCACTGAATGCTGTTTCCATAGAAACCATAATAATGTTCCAAATGGATGATGACTCATGATTATGAACAGATAGATAAGTAAAAAGGTCAAGCAACAGAAAATCTCCACAAATATATCTAGCTATCAGTATCAAAGCATGAGCAAGAGAAAGCAGAATATTAATGAAAAATTCACACATACATACACACTTTTTTTTTTACTGTATTTTAACTGGACTTTAGGGTTAAATAAGCACAATTAATTGATTATAAAGGCAGGGCCTATGTCTACTGAAAGCACTTAAAACACTGCCTCACAAATAACACTGTCAGGTGAATAAACAAGTGATCAAGGACCCATTCGTTACCTTCAGAGGATCTGCCCCGACATTAGTGTGTTGAAACTGCTATTTATGGCTCATTGGGAGGTTATGAAGTCAACAAAGTAGGTTTTTCAAAAAGGTGAAATAGAAAATATCAGAGTACACATCACATAATGAGTAATAGTTTATAAACATTTATTAGTAAATATAAATGGGTAAGATATTCATTTATTTATATACTTGATCACCTTGGAAAATATATTATTTACTGTGAGTGAATGTAAAGACATTGAAGAACACTGTCTACAAGGCGCTCGGAGACAGAGAGTTCATCACTCTCTCCCAATTTTTAATTGCCTAGAAACTGACTAGATGCTATGGGAACTGAGCGTAAGGCATGATAACTTAATCAAACCAGAGATATTTTTTTCTCATCTTTTCTTTACTCTCCTTGTTAATGATTTATTCTTACTTGTTAGATGCACATGGCATCCTTCCTTCCTTTGAAAATAAATTGTGATTAAGCAACAATAATTCATGTTTAAAATAAACCGAGCAGTTTTACTCTGCATGACGGGTCACCCCACTTAATCAACATGCCAGGTCAATCCACCAAAATCCAGACAGCTCAGAAGTTACTGAACCACATTCATTATACTCAAGAAGATGTATTATAAAAAATGACTAATGAAAACTGTGTTAAGTGAAAATTAAATCTGTTCCTAAAAATAATTACCAACAACAAAAAAGTTGCCTTGCTCATAATAGAAAACCCATTAAAAATATCACAGAGGTTTTTAAGGACAAGAATATAAAATAACTTATTCTTAACATAATGGTATATAGATATAGATATATATGATATAGATATAGATATAGACAGATATCTACCAAGAGCACAAAATAAAACCCTAATGGTTTTGTAGTTAATTGAAAAAAGGAGCAGAAAATTTGTCTGAATAAAGAGAAGCAAGATATTGTTATATATTTATCCAAAATATCTCTTCCTCCACATTCCTTTCCAATTACTTTGTGCTTTCCAATACTTTGTGCTTATTTTATATCATTTCCTTAGTCATAATTCACAAACGTTTATGTGAGCAGTATAAGCAGGGAAAAAATAGTAAACAGCCTATCTAAATGGAAATGTAATCTCAGTTCTCTATATTTTATTTAGAGGTTAGCAATAGTGAGTCAAACTGAACACTTACAGACTTAATCCACAGGAGAGGGCGGGGGAACTACAGACTGCCCACTATGTAAGTGACAGCCACAATTCCTGCTATTACCAGCAAACAGTGATTACCAAATAGTGACTTTTACTCCCAATTTTATGTCAATAGGAAATTGAGAGAGGTTTTTCATTAAGATATTTTAGCTCCAAAATCAATTTCTAAAGGAAGAATAATTTACTTCAGCTATTAAAGGTATGTTTTTTAAAAAAACTCAGTTCAGAGCATTAAGAATTAAAATGTAGGAACTGAAATCATGTGTTCAAATTACAAAAAGATTTCATAAAATGGAAACTTTTTTATCTTACAAGAGTACAATAATTTTTTAAATAGTTCTGTCAAAATTTGCCTGTTTGCTAGTAGCAACTGAAAAATAATTATGTGGTTTTCCGGGCTCAGAGCAACAGGGTTTTTACAGTTACTCACTGGAAGTCTCCCATAAGTTTAATATACTGTCTCATAGAAGAGTCTAGAAGATGGATGGGGGGGAACAAAGGAAATGCCCATTTCAACTTACTCCTTTTTAACCCCTCCTAGAACCTTCCAGAGGAGAGGGTATTGTCAGGCCCCTTCCATGAAGTGGTGGGCCGTGGGATGTTAACTGTGCAAACTAAGACTCATGAAAGGGAAGAGGCGCTTGGAACAGGATGCCGTACTACAGCTCAGCCGCTCTACCTGCTGACACTGTGCACCTTCGGCTTTCTTCTGTTCAGCAGAACTGGGTATTTCTCCTAGATCTTCTATAGTGATTCTGGCCTCCGGTAATCCCGACTTTGATTTAACAAAATTGACTTTTCTCTTTTTCTTCCTTCCTTCCTTCCTTCCTTTTTTTTTAGAGATTTTTGCTATAGGGTGTGTGCACTCACCAGAGAGACAAAGGGAGACAGGCAGAAAGCCAAAAATCACCCCTGGGGGGGAAATGGCCACACCACAATCCTTCTCTTCCATTCTCCTCTTGGGGTTTTGGGAACACACACACACATCTCCGGCCTGAGTTTTAAGTCCCTGATCCGGGACTCGAACCACGGTTGACAATGTGAGAGTCCAGCAACATAACCATTATGCCATCTGCTGACACCTGACTTTACTCTTCTATGTCTTTGACCTTATTCCTGTGGCTAAATATCTTGTTCCTAAATTCAGCTCTATGCTTCTGAGCCTAACCTATTTTTTTAAAAAATAATTATTTTATTTAACTTTATTTATTTACTTATTTTAATTTGACTAGAGAGGGACAGAGTGAGAGAGAGAAGGAAAGAGAGAATGCAAGCTGCCAGGTCTGGGACTCAAACTGCAGTCAGCCACGTGGGAGTCCAGTACCCTGACCCACCACACTTACCTGCCAACCCTGACCTAACCTATTGATAGGAACCTGACCCTGATTACCAACAAACCATGACCTTCCTCTGATCCTGATCACTTAGACTGCCGCCACTCACCTGCTGCGTGTTGAGGCATGCACAGGGCTGGCCGAGGGCCACTGCATGAACGCAGTTAACTGCTCCATAGCCACGATGGCTGAACATAAGGAAATTTAACAGAAACATCCTAACTCAGGCAAAAACCACAAAGAAAATTCTTGAAAGAAAATGGGCATTCAGGAAAAATACAAAGAAACAAAGGGAAATGGTCCGAGAATAAGTTTACATGTGAAATGTCAAAAAAGAATCCGGGAACCAGCAGTTAGCGTAATGGCTATGTCGCTGGACTCCCACGTAGTCGACCGTGGTTCGTGTCCCGGACCCGGTGGCTTGAAACTCACGCCGGGCGTGTGTGCGTGCGTGCCCAAGATCCCGAGAGGAGAATGGAGGAGAAGGGATTGCGGCGTGACCATCCCCCCTGGGGGGGTGATTTCTCGCTTTCTATCTCTATGTCTCTCTCTGTCTGTCTGGCGAGCGCACGCGCCCTACAGTGAAAATCTCTCAAAAAAAAATAAATAAATAAAATAAAATTTAAAAAAAAGAAGAAGAATCCAACCATAGAGCACATGTGCTAGAAAAGGCTAAGTATAAATCCTCCCTGGGCCTGGGCCAAGATGAAAGCAGTTCCCCCATGGAATCAGGTGGATTTGCTCAGTAGTAATCAACCAGGTAGATGTTTTACCTGACTCCGGGGGGAAGTAAATTCTCTCAAGTAAGACTACTTTGGTCTCCATTAATCCTGGTAAGACAAATCGTATTTAAATTCAACTAAGCAAAAGAAAGCCAGCTAAAAAGAAGCTATTGGCAAATTCAATTTTTCACCTGTTTTGTTGAATTGTAAATCAAATACTCAGGCCTTTTGCATCACCTTGTTTTATTATCTTTGCAGTACTTACCACTATTTTATATAAATATCATTTGTTTACTTGCTCATTTCTGTTCTCCCCTCCTAGAATATTAAGTCCACGAGGAGCGGGGCATAACCCTTCTGGCTAATCACTACACCTGCAGTGCCAGCAACAATGCCTGACATACACAGTGGGCTTTCAGTAAATTTCTGAAATGAATGGATGGATGGATGTGCCACTTTGATTCAATCTATGTAAAATTAAACATGAGCACAGTTATCCAGAGAAGAATACCAAGTACTTTGCAATGTATCAAATGGCTGTTCCAAGGACTAAAGTTGGCGACACGGGGGAGATCAGGGGTAAAAAAATCCAAGTCATTTAACTAGGAAAAACAAGTACCACTGTCTACTGCCCACTCTGCTCCACAGACACCATGAGCGCCTACGATAGCTGACATTTAAAGCACAATCAACGCCTGGGCAATTCCTGAGCCGCCTTTTCCGTCACACCCAGTGCAGCCTTACCAAGAACTGGTGGATGCAAGGCAAGAGCACAATGTCCGCCAAGGTGAAGAACAGGCCTTCTGCAAACAGGTGCTCCAGGGGCGGGAGGTCCGAGGCTTTGGCCTTCCTGATGTGCGCAGGCTCCCTGCTGGCTGGTGCTGGTTCTTCCTGTACCCGGAGCTTGGAGAAGGCCACTGTCAGCTCCAGGCTGGAGGACGCGGCCAGCTCCTCAGAGGCTTCCTGCGTGTGGCCCTTGCCCTTTGCTCGCCCCTTGGTGAGGGGCGCCCTAGTCGCTGTCTGCTGCTGCAGCTTCTGCCTGCGCAGCTTGTCGTCGTTGGCCACCCTCACGGGCTCGGCCAGCTTCCTCTCCAGCTGCAGGATTTCTGCAGGGATGGCTGGGGACTGCTCAGAAGACTCACTGAGGAAATTCTCAACAGCCAGAGGGATGGTGAGTTCACACAGCCGGGTCCACTGACTCACCTAAGAACCAAAGCGAGGAGAAAGGAAATGATGCTTTACATTCAGCATACTTTGCAGAGAACCATCACCCCCGCCTTACTGGGAAGTAAGAGTGGTTCCAGTGATGGACAGTGCCTGGGCTAGACCGTGCCTGGGAGAGGCTTGTGCTATAGCAGGAACCACAAGACACTATCGGGAAGGGGAAATGCTCAGCAGTGCGGGCTCGCCAGTGCAGGAAAGGCTTGCAGAATAATTACTTCCCAAAACTTGGAAACACACCTCCCATCCCAACCCCTCAAAAAGCGGGGCTTTCAGAGCACTGCTATTGAGACTTGAGTGCCTGTTTATACAAATATTCCCTTGGAAGAATCATCAATATAACTAAAAATAAAGGATTAAAAGAAAGTTATTCTCTAAAAATATCTGAAGCTCCATAAATCAAATCATAGGGTACCAGCAGTTGGCATAATGGCTATGTCACTGGACTCCCATGTAGTCGACCACGGTTCGCATCCCGGACCCGGTGGCTTAAAACTCACGCCAGGAGCTTGTGCGTGCGTGCCCAAGATCCCGAGAGGGGAATGGAGGAGAAGGGGTTACGGTGTGGCCATCCCCCCTGGGGGCTGACTTCTCGCTTTGTCTCTCTGTCCCTCTCTGTCTGGCGAGCGCACACACCCTATAGCAAAAAACCTCTCCAAAAAAGAAAAAAAAATCTTAAATTCTTACTTTTCAGTACTTCGCTGAGATATTGGTACATAGGAAGGGCTGCTTTGAGTATCTCAGTGGTCATGTAGGTTTTTAAATAAATGACACATCCCTCCCAACAGGAATATGAGCTCACTGTTCCTGTGTAGCTTTGTAGAAGGGAGGGGACAATGACACATCCCTCCCAACAGGAATATAAGCTCGCTGTCCCTGTGTCCCTTTGTAGAAGGGAGGGGACATTACACCTACCTCAGCACAGGCTTTCAAGCAAGTCTTTTTAAAACCCAGAAGTTCCAGAATGTCCTTCTTCGAGGGGTCTGCTTCGTATGACTTCTGGATCGTGTGTCTTAGTACAACGGCAAGCCCTGCTCTACAGAAGTTGCCTGGTTGCTGCACCACCGCAGGTAAACGGCAATTCTGGACTATTGGTGGAAGTTCCTGCCTTGAAGTAATCTGGATTTCGATATCCTGGGACACAGCACCTTTTAGCAGAGAACTATCTGCGCTCTCTTTGGTGAGGACTAAGTAAACTTTAAAGATTTTGCAGTCACAATAGGATAACAAAAATAAAGTTACAGATGTATGAAGAGGGAAGATGCATCCTTCTGCTTGGTGGGAAAAGTCCAGGTAGAGATACTCTTCTGTAAGACTTTTCTTAGTGCCTTTCATTTTCTTCTTTCACCGGGTCACCTAAGGCATAAACTGAAGTGGTTATAGGCCTCAGAATATAAAAATCAGAAGCTACAACAAAAGGTGAATTTTAAAGTCCTGTTCAAATCAGTAAGGATTTGTGACAGATAACAAAGCTCCAACAATTTGCTCCTGAAGACTGAACAAAAGGCTTCCAAAAGAAAATTTTCAACCCTATGCAGTTAACTAGTCTTAGAAGTAATTTTATACCAAACTCCTTTAAAGCAAGAGTACTTTGGAGTCTCACTGGAGGTGAGATCAGAAAATAAACAGAATGGGAAATAAGAAATCAACTAAGGGGCCAGCAGGTGGCATGGTGGTTAAAATGCTGGATTCCAACATGGCCAATTATGGTTCAAATCCCGGACCTGGCAGATTGATAAATGACAAGTAGTAGATAGATAGATAAATAAATGTCTAAAAAATAATAAAGTGAATCATAGGTTTTTTTTGTTTTTTTGTTTTTTGTTTTTTTTTTAAAGAAGAAATCAACTAATACTACTAAGAGTTGCCTAGGGATAATAGCCCTGAGCAATTTTGGCCACGCCAGTCCTCCCACACTGTTTCTATACTAATCACAGGGTACATTAATTTCTTTCTGAGAAAGATTTTGTGCTGAGCTGTTGGGTATTGAATCACAATAGGAAAATATTTTAATTTCCCTATAACTTAGATGTTAAGAGCTGAGGTGTCCCCAAGTTTAGTGCTTTTCTCTCCACCCCCAAAAACTGCTCCTTGTATGGCTTCCCTATACCAGCTAATGGAATGCCTTCCTTCCAACTGGTAAGGCCAAACACTTTCAGTCATTATTTTTACTCAAATAATTATTCAATGTTATTATTATCATCAAATCTGCTGTAGGGCACATCCACTCATCGTAGAGAGACAGAGAGAGAGAGAGAGAGGGAAAGAGAGACAACCTACCAGATCTAGGACTTGAACCACGGTCGGCCATGTGGGAGTCCCACACCTAACTGCCACACCACCTGCTGGCCCCCGAGAATCATTCTTATTTTTTCTTCCCTTTCACTTCTCTGAACTACCCATTCACAATTATTTTGGCTCTACTGTCAACAAACATCCAGAATCTGACCATCGCATGCCCTTCCGTTGCTTCCCTGTGACCGACTGCCTCTTAGCTCTGCTTCCGTCTCGCCTCCTCCTCTATAGCCAGTGTGATCCCAGGAAGCATGAAGTGAGGCCAAGTCACACTCGGTTCAGACCCTTCTGTCTCCATCCTACCCACGGAGAGCCAGCATTTCTACAACGGCCACAGAAGTCTCGCTGATCTAACTCTTTGATGGCTCTGAGTTCATCTCTTGAAATCTCTCCTCCCCTCACTGCTGTGGCCAAAGTGGACTGCTATTTCTGTAAAACCCTAGGTATGTTCTCACCTCAGGATCCTGGCATTTGTTGTTTCCGGTACTTAGAACACTCCCTCATTTCCTACTCACGGAAGCCTCTTTTGGCTATTTGATTTAAATTGCAAACTCAAACCCCTACTATCCCTGAAAAATCTTCTCTATGCCCTTCATGCTTTTTCTCCACAGCACTTATCACTACTGTACAATACCATGTGTGTATAATTGGTCTGCCCAACTATCAATAGACTGCTCCATAAGAGTAATGATTTTGCTGTATTTACTGCTATGTCTCAAATACTGCTACAATTATGTGTGTGGGTGTGTGTATAAGTATTTGTCAAATTAATACATGGATGAATTCACACAGTGGTTATGTTAAAGAGGCAAACACACACAATCTTTTTTTCTTTCTTTTTTTTGGAGAGGTTTTTGCTATAGGGCGCGTGCGTTGCCAGAAAGACAGAGACAAAGACAGAAAGCGAGAAATCACTCCCCAGCAGGGGATGGCCACACCGCAATCCCTTCTCCTCTATTCTCCTCTCAGGATCTTGGGCACACACGCACATACGCCCGGCATGAGTTTAAGCCACTGGGTCTGGGACTCGAACCGCAGTCGGCTATATGGGAGTCCAGTGACATAGTCACTACACCTACTGCTGGTCCCAACACACACAATCTTGAGGTCAGATTATTGGCAGGTGTTTCCAGGTCCTATTCTTCAAAGCTTCTGTCAGTTATTATGACTTTGTTCAGTTCATACATTTCCTGGGTTCAAAATACCCCATTTTCTAATTCATAAACCACAACTGCCAAATCACCACTAGATGGCACTCTTTAAAAGCATTGATCACAGAAGAACAGACTCCGAGGGTGGCATTATCAGAGGATGAGCATTTCCTAGGCTGTAACAAGAACGTGAGCAGCCTGTGTTTTAAATGTATTTGAAATATTCATGTATCCTTACTTTTAGAAAACCTTCAACATACTCAATTTCCTTTAATATTCGAAATACTTTTGGTTTTGTTTTAATCAAAAGTAAAATATTTATTTGAACTTCTTGATTCTCCACTTTTTTTTTTCATAGAGAGGTTTTTGCCTATAGGGCACATGCACTTGCCAGAAAGACAGAGAGAGACAGAAAGAGAGAAAGCGAGAAATCACCCCCCGGGGGGATGGCCACGCCACAATCCCTTCTCCTCCATTTTCCTCTTGGGATCTTGGGCATGCGTGCACACACACACACCCAGCTTGAGTTTAAGCTACCGGGTCCGGGACTCGAACCACGGTTGACTACATGGGAGTCCAGTGACATAGCCATTGTGTCAACTGCTGGTCCCATCCACTTTTTTTTAATTGAAGAGCTTGTAATCGATTGTAACAAAGGGATAGTAAAATATCATCCTGGAAAAGTTCCTGATAATACAAATAATTACTACTGTTTTATGTTTATTTTAAACAAGCAAACAGATCTGCCCCTGGCCGGTTACTTCTTTAAAAGGTTGGGGGTGAGATGGGAATTGTTTTACATAATGTAAAAGCAACAACTTTTTAACCCATGGAAAGCATTTTCTACCTGGGATTAATTACCTTCTTGGTTTTCATTTGCACCTAGTGCAGCTGATTTTAAAACAAAACACCAAAGAGTATTCATTAAAGTTTACAGGCAAATAGAACGGACCACCTTTTCCAGGAATTGACAGTCTCTTTGAGGAATTTGCCCCTAGAAATCTACTGCTGATTAATTTACCAATCTCTTGACTCCCTCTCCTGACACTGGGATACTGTAAAGAAACCCTAAGCGTTTCAAGAAGGTAGATTTGAAGGAAATCATGATTGCGTTCATCTGTCTGGCAGGATAGGAAATAGTAATTATGGGACTAGCTTGTTCACACTTTTAAAACTGGAAATCATGCCATGCTATTTCACAGCTTTAGATTGAAGATATGTACAAATTACATATGCCCACAGTTACGTAGGCAGAGAGAGAGAACGTGTATTTGCCTCTTTCCAAGGTAAAAAATAACCATGAAAACAGGCTTTTACACATATTCTATAAACTCTTCTCACTGTAAGAAGTGAATAAATGCTAAATGTCAACAAAATAGAATAGCAATGACCTGCCCATGCTGATATCTGAAATTAATGAGATGCCTGAGAGAAAATGCAAAGTACTGTTGATTCTTAATATAATTTTTTTCTATATAAATGTTGGTGTTTTTTCCTAGGAGAGTAAAAATGTTACTTAATGATATTGAAGTTAAAAAAAAAATTATACTCCCTGGGCAATTTCTTCCCATTACACACTAATGCAATTTTAAAAATAAATATTAAGTATTCAGTAAACTTGTACAAATTTGGTATCTGTTTTTGGCTTGCACTGTGTCTTCGATTTTTCAAATGGGTAGAACATAGTTTTTGCTCAAAGTCTACAAACACCACAGGCAAAAGAAAGCCCCCTCCCCTCTCCTCCCTCTCCCCGGAGAACGCCGTGGTCTGTTAACTGTGTGTCATGAGCTTTAACAAGGTGGCCAGTCTGCAGGGTTCCTGGGCACAGCTCCTGTTACTCCCGATTACATTCCTG